GAACTATTGATCATGCATCATGGGCCCTTTCTATTCAAAATCTATTTGCACCTGTATTCCTAGCATCTTTTGGAGTGAGGACTGATTGATGCTATTTTGATCTGCTTCTTAAGTGTCCCTGGAAGCAAGTGACCCATCTTCTTTCTCATTCATGGAATCATATTCTTCATAACTGATGTCCTGAGAAAGACAAATTACCTTATCTGCCCAAATATACAATACAATTTTATCTTCCAGTCATTCTTTAGAAAAGAGGGAATTGCCTTTATTTGAGTCTTTGAGTTACTCTAACATTTTTGGATGTTATTTTGAATATAAAATATAAGGTATTATTTGGAGAAAATGTGACAGCCTAAAATTGCCTTAGTCACTGCTAGTTTGGACTATTTTTTTCCTTGATAAGGTTGATACAAGAAAGGAAATTAATTTAACAGAGATTTAGTAATTATTCCTAGGGGCATAATATTCAAGTGTTGACTGTCTTCATAAACAAAGTAAAAGGGTAATAAAAGAAAACAGTACCATAGCTTGTTACGTTGTGGCAGTTAAAAAATGCGTATATACCCATAGGACTATGGAGATATTGAGAAAAAAACAAAGTCAGCTTCCCTTATGCTCTGCTCTTATATAATCCCTCAATACTACTGATAACAGATGTATAAGGGTTTTTCCCAAATACACCAATATTCTAGTATTATCTGGTAGACACCAGCTGGATTTCCGCTAATTCAGCTCAATTTTGACACTATCTACCCAGAAATGGTGTCAGATCCCACAGGTTGAGGGCTTAGTCCCACTAGACTGCCTCCTACCCACTTTAGATGCCAGTCTAACTAAGCCTGTGTGTGCTTCTGACTGACTGGCTATGTACAAATCAGAGTTCCTATGACCTCTTCCTTAGATGGACTAATTTGGTTAGGTGGCTCACAGAACTCAGGGAAACACTTTACATACATTTACTCATTTATTATAAAGGCAGTTACAAAGGATACAGATGAACAAGCAGATGGAAGAGTTGCTTAGGGAGAGGTATGGGAGCAGGGTGGGAAAGAAAATAAGCTTTTTATCTAAGGAATGTGAGCCTCCTAAAGGAGATCTAGAGAGGCACTGAAATGAGACTGAAGTCGTCACCAACCCCCAGGATCCCCCACCCCTTCACCTTCCTTGAGCTAAGTAATCATTTCCAAGCTGCTTGCTACAAGGACTCTAGACTGAGTGGCGCCACAAAAGGCTATAAATTAACCTAATATTGCCATATGCAGGACAGCATAACTCATACCTTATAGTTCAATAATGTGTAGTTAATTGCTAATCAATGTTATTTCTGAAAACCAATGAGAATATCTGAAAAACAGCTTTTGTAATTGCCCCCACTCACCTGATTCACCTTTTTTTTTGAGTTGGAGTCTCACTCTGTCGCCTAGGCTGTTGTGTTGTGGCACACTCATGGCCACCCCAGTGTTGACCTGCTGGGCTGCGGCGATCCTTCTACCTCGGCCTTCCAAGTAGCTGAACTACAGACACATGCTATCACGCCTGGCTAATTTTTGATTTATTGTCTCGCCAAGGTGCCTGGGCTGGTCTCGAACCCACAGGCTCAGGCAATTCACTTGTCTCAGCTTTCTAGAGTGCTTGGATTACAGGCTAAGCCACCAAGCCTGCTCTCATCTTTTTATCTTTTTAAGGTTGAGCCTCTCCTTTGTTCTCTTGAGCACTTCTGAAGGTAACTTAAAAGTGTTTCTCAGACTGCTGTCCTCAACCTTGGCCCAGATAATTACTCTCTCTGTTTCTCTCTCTCTGTCTTTCTCTATCATCTATGATTTTTTCTATACATCTGCAAGACTTGAGCATGCATTCTCCACCTATATTAATTTGCCTCAGTGTCTTTCTTTAGGTCTACAAGGGGCACAGAACTTTCATGCCCTCTCCTGATGTACTATCCAACAGGAACTTCCATGTGTTCATCTATTCCGAATCTCCCAGTACTCAGTCCTTTGGATTTTTATGAAAGTTTCTTTATCTAGGCATGATTGATTACATCACTTTATTGGTTTATCAACTCAACTTCTAGACTTTCTCCCTACCCCATAGGTTGAGGGTAGGACTGAAAGGTCCAGTTCTCTAATCACATGGTTGTCTCCCCTGGCAATTATTCCTCGTCACAGAAGTTACCTAGGTGCCCCCAGACACCAATCATCTTATTAGCATATAAGAGACACTCTTATTACTTTGGAGATTCCAAGGATTGTAGGATTTTATGTTAGGAAACAGGGACAAAGACCCAAATATACATTTCACAGTATCACAAGCACAAATGAAGAAAACAACTGTCCTAATATTGAATGACTTTGGACAAAAGCTCAGTGACTGCATTATATTTGGATCCAAAGTGCTGTATCTCAAACACTTTAGAGAATAATAAAGGTAATGTAAAAGAAGCATCTAGCACAAATTCTCTCTTTGCTGACACAGGTCTGACTGCTGGCCCTAACCTGTACCTCATCTAGTCCTCACCTGTCCTGGTCACTGGCTTTGTTTTTGATTCTTCCATCATTCCCCCTAGATTTGATGTACGTATTTTACTTTGTTGCTGCCTTGATGAATTTTCTGCTACAGTGCTGCCTATCTATCCACAGGGCATCTTAGTAACTCTAACTTCTAGACTAAATCACTCTGTCTTGTGGGGTTCCAGATTCCTTTGAGCCTGGAATTTGAGAAGAAACTAAGAAGGTTTTTACTAAAGTAATGAAGCTTAAAGCTCAAGATTCCACATTTGCATAAGACCCTGGGTTCTGGGAATTGTAAAATGTTCTGGGTGAAGAGATGAAGCAGGTTATAGTCAGAAAACATTTCTATGTAAACATTTCTGTTGTCCAAGAAGTCTCAGAGAAAGGTACTTGTACCGCTAAGACTCCAGCATTTAAGGTGATTTCACATCCTAAATAAATGTTTACCTTTGCATCTAATATATTTGTAATTTTGTATTCTTATTCTTAGGACCACTCAAAGTATATATGCTTCAGGCCACATGAAATCCGAATCCATCACTGTATTTTACTAAATAAGATTCTTGAGTGTTTTGCTAGTACTTACTCCTCTATACTTAATAAAACATATTTTGGACAATTAAACAAATACTAAGTAGAATCTAGAGACTCCCCAAATCATTCTGAAGTCAATGCTTTTGGTGGCTCTTTTACAAGAAATCTAGAACTTCCTGGCTGTCAGCTATTTCAATGTTAGTACAGTAGTAGTGAATGCTATGCAACGGAAACTCAGATACTTCAGTTCAGTTCAGTTCCAATCAGCAAGACTTTATGAAAAGCCTACTATGTATGATGAAGATGCTAGGCTATGTTCTTTCTTCAGATAATTTAAATTCAAGAGTCATTTGAAATGAATTGCCTTAACAGTGAAGTATTTTTTAGATCCTTGGAATTTAATAGCAGTTCTCTTTAAAGAAATAAGAAATTGGAAGTAACATGGTAAATATGATTAAATGCCAGGGAAAAACAAGGATAAACGATTGGCACCAGTCATTTGATGTTGTCTGAAACAAAGAGACTTGTCAGTCTGTAAATGCTACTAGTTTTAGTGCCAAGGATATAAAATGAAAAGTATCCTTTTGGGGGACAGTTTTGTCAACCTGAAATAACCAAAAGGATCAGAATCCAGTTTTAAATTGAAAGCAGGGTTTTCTTTTTTTTCAAGAGGAAAGCTGGGAGTAGGCATCCAGAGACACACACTCCAGAGAAACAGGGTCAGTGCTCTGAAGTTAAAAGTTAAAGTCTTGCATATATAGAAGAAAACCAAGACATTTAACAAGATTACAACATTTTCTATGCAAGCTGGTTTATGAGTTATAACAATTTAATTAGTTACAATTTGTTTTTTTCCCCCATATGCCTTATTTTCTTTACAGTTGGTTTTCATTTCCTTTCCAAATAAAAAGAATATATTTAACATTCTATCTTTAGATAATGTGATAGCCATGAAGACTTTTTGTAAAAGTAAGAGGAAAGTTAATCTGCTGAGTGAAAAGGGAAGGGTCTTTCCTGGTACTCTGTAGCCATTTACAACATTTTGCAAAACAACATGCTTAAAGAAGAAGGCTAATCTATAATCAGAGAAACTAAGGTTCAGCCTCCTAGGTTAAAGCTTTCTGTCACACAACTCGGCCTCATAGTCACATTTCTTTAAGGCTCAAAATAATTTAGAGTTCCAACATCTAGATTTTGTATTACTTGTTTTCACGTCTCGTAGGTGGTAGCTCAGTGAGACAACTATTTTTCAAGCTAAATAAATGAGCTCATTTTCAATACATGTGTTTGGGAAATAACAAATTCCTGAAAGACAAATCAGTGTATGATGTCTAATACTGAGGAATGTTTTGAAGAAAAACAATGCTAGAGAAGGAGAGGAGGTTACAGAATTCTATTTTGGAAAGATTATAGTACTGACTTCCTAGCCATTCCTTGAATGTAGCGAGTTTATCTCCCTCTTAAGACCTTTGCACGTGCTAAGGCGTCTGGCTGGAATGCTTTCCTTCAAATATCTGCCTCATTTGTTTTCTCACTTCATTCAGGGCTCTGACCACCTTTGTCTAAAGTAGCACCATTCAATTCTGTTTCCCTACTCTACACTACCTAACCTTAGGGACCAAAGAAATTATTTGATAAATTATTTGCTATCTGAACTCTTAATATTGCTATCTGTAACTTGGGAATTGAAAAGAATATTTTAAACATATCTTCTTATTTGGATATCCAAATCAGAAACCAAATAATTTTGATAATAAGGGATACTTGTAGTTTTCTTCACAGACCAGATATACAAAAAAGATACCTGCACATGTATGTTTGCTGCAGCTCTATTCACAATAGCAAAAACAAAGTGATAACTATTATTTCAGACTTGTTATTAACATATTAATTTTGTTTACATCACTATTCAGTCAAATTGTTATACAATTATGTTATTTATATCATCTTGGGTTTTAGGTAGACTGGGGTCAACTGGACTATTTAGTTGTTGACATGCCACCAGGAACTGGAGATGTGCAGTTATCCGTGTCACAGAATATTCCCATTTCAGGTAAATCTTAAAAGTTTAAGGTAATTTATGCTTTCTTTGATGTGTTGTTGTTTGCTATACAGAAAAACTAGCTCCATATCAAGCAAATATTTTTGTCTTAAAAATAATCACTTATAAATTTTGAGAGCAGAAGCATAAATTGAATTTTCAAAATGTTGTCAGAATAAGTATATTTATAGAAATATAAAGACATTTTGAAAGGTGATAATATGGATATGTATTCCAGAAACATAATAGCATATATTATTTAGGTAGAATGTGACTGGTTTACTGCTGTTCAGCACTTATAGCAGTGGTAAGTGGCAGCTGCTCAGTAAATAGTTTTTGTTGAGTGAATGCAGAGTAAGAGTAAATATTAGGAAAAATTGATTTTTGGTAAACACAACAATTAATATTCTGTTAATTATTTAATGTTAAAGTCAAAAGAGCAATAAACAATCACTTGTATCAAATATTTAATACTTAATATGGTAGTGGATATCTTTTTTATGATATGGAACTTAAACATTAGTATAGTGGTTATCCTTTACATAGTGTCCTTCTAAAGATTTTCATAGATTTTGCTTTAAAAAGTTGCAAATCTTTCATTTATAAAAGAATAGCTGGGCAAATAATGGAATTTTAAAATATCTTTGCAAATTAGTTGTTTACTGGTTATCCAAACAATGTAATTGACATTTAATCATCAAAAGGTTTGAAATCTAAGTTTTGACCAGATATACAGGTTGTTTGGAAATATTGACATAGCCTCATTAACATAAATATGGGAGTAAAGTGACAAAAATAATTTATCCTTTTTGTAATCACTGTGCTGTGGTATTTCTTTTTAAAAATAATTTTGGAATCTTTTATTTTTCTAAATTTTAACAATACTTACTAAATGTTTATTGGAGAAAAATGTGCTTCTGGTACTTTGAAATGCCTATTGCAAATTTACAAAATACTTAGACTATTCATATAGATAATATATTGATAAAACTGGTCTAGATTTGGTGTTTTTTTTCTTCTTCTTTTTTTTTTTTTTTTTTTTTTTGTGAGTTTGAGTCTCTTTCTGTTGCCCAGGCTGGAGTGCAGTGGCACATTCACGGCCACTATAGTCTTGACTTGCTGGGCTCAGGAGATCCTTTTGCCTTATCCTTCTAAGTTACTGGAACTACAGGCACATGATATCATGCCCAGCTAATTTTTAAAAAATTTACTAGAGATGAGGTCTTGTCAAGTTACCCAGGCTGGTCTTGGGTAGTCTGGGTACCCTGGGGCTTAGGTAGTCCTCTCGCCTCTGTTTTCCAAAGTCCTGGGATTACAGGTGTGAGCTACCATGCCTGGTTAAATTATTTATGCCTTGAGTAGTGACTTGGTACATTTAAAGATTTTATTTACCTAACACAGGTAAGCAATTATTTTGTTTACTCAGGTAACAGCCCTCCTGTTTGGATAAGATTTATGATTCAATTACCCCATTTTAATTTGCATTTATACTCCGATACCAACACTGTATATAGATTGGAGTTAAGTTTTTCTTCTCCTTTCTTATATTCTAAAATTTAACCAGCATATTTCTTTATTCCTTTCCTCTGATGAAGAGTCTGCCCGGTAATAGGCAATTACTATTCAATGGGAATAAGACACTGTACTTTTTTTTGTTGAGGTGGTAAAATATAGATAACAATGGCATTAACTATATTCACAGCCAGGCATGGTGGCTCAAGCCTGTAATCCCAACATTTTGGGAGACCAAGGTGAGAGGATTGCCTGAACCTAGGCATTTGAGCCAGCATGGGCAACTTGGTGAGACCTCAATAAAAAAAAAAAAAATTAGTGAGCATGGTAGTATTTACCTGTTGTTCCAGCTACTTGGAAGGCTGGAGCAGAAGGATCGCCTGAGCCCAGCAGGTCGGCACTGGGTGGCTGTGAGCGTACCACTGCACTCCAGTCTGGGTGACAGAGTGAAACTTCAACTCAAAAAACTAAACACAAAAACAAAACTATATTCACGTTGTGCAGCCATCACTGGTATTCATCTCCAGAGCTTTCTTCTTCCCAAACTGAAACTCTGTATCTATTAAACAATAACTCTTCATTCCTCATTCTCCCCAGACCTTGGCAGCCACTATTTCACTTTCAGAAACCGTACCTTTTTTTTGCATTCAGAGACAACCAAGGAGAAAAATATATTTTAAAAGATTTCATTGAGTATAAATACAGAGTTTCATGCTGAGTGTTAGTTAGCACTTTAGTCCAAGGACAGGTCAATAAAACCACAAATAACTATAATTTTTTAGAAATATATTTCATTAAACAAAACCTAAAGTTGATTTTATGACTTATCAATAAAATTATGTATCAATAGTTTTCTATTTATATGCAAGGTAAACGTGAATCACTGTAGAGAATCCAAGGATAAAGTAAATGAGTCTTTTCCCTAGAGTTCCTTACCTTTTTAAACTTTCAGACCTTTTGTAAAAATTTGATGAAAACTATCGATTCTCTCCAGGAAAATGTATTTATATATGGTATACAGAAGTACTAATTTTACGTATTATTTCAGGAAGTTTATAGTCCTCAGGTTAAAAACCCCAAGTCTAGGAGATAGAACAAGGTGAGGAGCAGAAGAGAGTGATTGGTATAAAAGAACATTGATCGCTATATCCAGAGTTTGGGAAGTGCTATATGAGAAATCGGAACCCATGATATGGGGTTCCAAGGAAGAAGAGACTATGGGTTTGAGAGGAATGCAAAACCCTTCATGGATGTGGACCTTAAAGAATAATTATACATTGTAGAACATTCAGTATAGAACCATACTTTGGTTTCTTTGCTTTATCTTGGCATAAGGGAAAGAAAACTGAAAATGAGACTACTAGTGTTCTGTAATTCTACTATAGAAACTTAATATATGTTCCACTTCCCAAGTCTAATCTATTTTTTAAAAAATTGGGCCAGTTACTAAAGATGCTTTTGAAAATATGCAAACCTAGTTATTCCTAACTATGATATTAAAATTAACGTTTATCAGTATTTTAAAAATACTCTATAATAAGCATATATAGTTTTATAACTTAACAAAATGAATAAAAAGCACTAATTCTTTAAGGACAGTAGATTTCTGTATAAATGGTATCATGATAATTACCTGATAATAATAAACTGAATTTAATGGCAGTCTTCCATACATTTCATATTTCATTCTCACAGTTGTTATGTTATTTCTATTTTTAAAAATATATATTTTATGTATGGATAAAGCAAGGAAACCAAAGTATGGTTCTATACTGAATGTTCTACAATGTATGGATATATTATGTATGTAAGACAGGTTCTCACTCTGTCACCCTGGCTGGAGTGCGGGCGTACAATCATAACTCACTGCAACCTTGAACTTCTGGGCTCAGGCAATCCTCCTGCTTCAGCCTATGGAGTAGCTGGAACTGTAGGCATGCACTACCACACCTGGCTAATTTTTTATTTTTTAGTATATATAAGGTGTTGCTATGTTGCCCAGACTGGTTCAAACTCTTGGCCTCAGGTGATCCTCTCACCTTGGTCTCCCAAAGTGAAAGGATTGTGGGCATGAACCACCTTGCCCAGCCTCACTCTGCATTTTATTTGGACCATTCCTCTAGCACTTCTGATGTTCCTCATTGAAAATGTACATTACTGTGTTATCTTCTCTCCCGGACTATTTGTTACTCCCTGGAAGGCCAGGATCTTTTCCATTCATTGCCGTATTTTTCACATACCAAACTCAGAGCCTTCCTGCAGCTACTCAGGAAATGTTGAATCATTGAATGAGTATTTTATCTATGTATGTTTTATCTTCCCAACTAGGCTGTAAGCTGCTTGAATGCAGAAATTTTTTTTCCTATTTATCCTAGTATCTTTTAGAATTTCTTATGCAATTAATATTAACTGAATAAATGATAAAGCTAGTATGACTAGTTATCACTGCTTTACGAAAAGATGTGTAACCCTTTATCTTTCTTACCATCCTGCTAGTTCATTCCTGTGACCCCCCATTCTGACATATTTTACCCAAGTATTTTTTCTTTGTATAGGTTAAAGGAAACTTCTTTTAAAAAGCATACATTTTATTTTACTCTCCTTCTGAGAGAAGAATGCTTTCATTTTAATTATGTATTTATTTATGCTTTTTTTTGCTGTAGTATATGTAGTATCCTTGTGATCAGTTGATATCTTTTATAGTATTTCCTTTGTTTTAGCTTCTAAGATAATAGTATGAATATGGGGACTTGCAATTTGAGGACATGGAATATTAAATCATTAGTGAGAATAACTAGCATTGCTCCATTGTAAGATAATAATAAGACATTATCTTATTTACTTGCAGTGATGTTTAGTAATTACCTCTCTTTATCCTTACTTATAGAGCATTTGCTTAACCCACATACTTGTAAGGATCTAATGAGATATGAATGTAAATATTCTATCTAAATATGTAGTAGTTTTTAGAAACTACTTGAACCTATAAAAGAGGCTTTCTTGGGGAAAGGAGTGGTGATAAAATATGGTGAATTTGAAAAAGCCTTTAGATCAACTTTGCATTTCTAAAAACCATGTTGAAAATAAAATCAAATGTTTTATATTTGAAAAGAGAGGCAGACCTACACACACAAAAATACCTCTTTCTGAATGCTAATGAACAACTCTTTGTGTGTGTTGTATTTTGTGCCATGGAATGGATGACAACCTCATTACAGGCACACCTTGGGAATATTGTGGGTTTGGTTCCAGACCACAGTAATAAAGCAAATATCATAATATAAGTCAGAAATTTTTGTCTTCCCAATATATATAAAAGTTATGTTTATACTATATTCTACTCTGTGAAGTGTGCAATAGCATTATGTCTGGGAAAAAAGTACATACCTTAATTAAAAATGTTTATTATTGCTAAAAAATGCTAATGATCATCTGCACCTTCATCGAGTCATAATCTTTTTGCTGGTAGAGGGTCTTGCTTTGATGTTGATGACTGCTGA